CCCATCAATTCTTTAAGATTAAGTTGCATAGCTGCTAATTTTAATCCTTTATTAAAGAGACTTTTATTGCACTACCACCCTGCCCCCTAACCAGGGAGAAAAGTGAAATAGAAAAAACCCACCCAAATGAAGACTCCTACAAATATTGTAGCCAAAATCCAAAGTCAAAGAAAAAAAATACTGAAATCAGCCAGAAAAAGTTCAAATGCTATCAAGTAGCCACAGTCAGAAGCACACAAGACCTGGCAGCCACTCACTTATAGGAGAGAAGAGCTTGGAATACAAAATTCCGAAACACAAAAGGTTTGAAGTGAAGGCTAACTCACCTCCCCCCCCACCAAATTGAGTGTAATTCTACAGGAGAAAACATGGGTTTTCAATGAAGTAGAAGATTTTTAAGCATCCCTGATGAAAATGTTAGAATTGAGTAGAAACTTTGCAACATAAACCTGGGATTCAATTGGAAAGGAAATATAGGGATAAAGTATTTATACTTAAATAGGGGTAGAAGAAAGGAATCTCTGCTAAGAACTTTAATGTCAACAACATTCATAGAGGGAGTAAAATAAGAGAGAAAGCCAAAGAATAGCTTTTTTGTATTTTTATATTCTAAAGACAATAAAGAAAATGGATGGAAAAAGAAATATGCTAAGGAAGAATAAGGGCAGAGACATCTCACATAATCAGTTCACAGATAAAATCTATACAAATAAAAATCAAGGAGTAGGGGTGGGGTGAGGAGTGAGCACTCCTTGAACCTTACTTTTCTTAAAAAAAAATTTTTTGTTGACGTGTTTTTACATGACTGTAATATCCCATGTATCTCTCTCCATCCTTTTGCCCTTCCCCAAGGGACATCCCATATAACAAAGTATTTTTTAGAGAAGAAAAAAAAGTCAGCACAACTGACTAATACATTGAAAAAGTCTGAAAACATATGCAATGTGTAATATTTGTGGATCTCCCACTTCCAGAAAGAAGAAGGTAGGGGGTATCATTTCGTATCTTTCTATTCAAGTTCCACTTGGTCTTTAGACTTTTGTTACATACATTTATCTATCTATCTATCTATCTATCTATCTATCTATCTATCTATCTGTTTGTTTGTTTTGGTGTGCCATTCTTTTTATTTACATTGTTGTAATTACCATGTATGTTGTTTTTTTGTCTCTGCTTCACTCTATATTAGTTCATATAGATATGGTGTGTGTATATGTGTGGGAGGGGGAGAAGGAGAGAAAGAAAGAAAGAGAGAAAGAGAGAGAGTGAGAAGAAGGAAGAGAGGAGAGTTGAGTTATTGTTATTTTCAATGTGAGCATTTATGTCTCTGAAATTGACAAATGCTGTAAATCAAGACTATAAAATTTATTGTCTTATTGATTGTGTAGATTTAAGGAAGTGATGAAAATGCTTTTTAATTTTTTTTATTATTTATTTTGATTTATCAACAATCATTTCCGTGAGGTTTTTTAATTAATTTATTTTGAATTATCAACAATCATTTCCATAAGCTTTTGAGTTTTAAATTTTTCTCCCCCTTTCTCCCCACCTCCCTCCCTAGGACAGTGTACAATCTGATATAGGCTATACATATACATTCCTATTAAACATATTTTCACATTAGTGATGTTGTAAGTAAGAATTAGAACTGATAGGAAGAACCACCAGAAAGAGGAAACAAAACACAACAGAAGAAAAAAATAGCAAATAGTGTGCTTTGATCTGCATTCAAACTCCATAGTTCTTTCTCTAGATGTGGATAGCATTTTCCATCATGAGGCCTTTGGAGATGTCTTAGATCCTTATATTGCTCAGAAGGGTTAAGTCTATCAATATTCGTCATTGCACAACATGGCTGTTACTGTGTACAATGTTCTCCTGGTTCTGCTCACTTCACTCAGCATCAGACCATACAAATCTTTCCAGGTTTTTCTGAAGTCAGCCTGTTCATCATTTCTTATAGCACAATAGTATCCCATTACATTCATTTACCACAACTTGTTCAGCCATTCCCCAACTGATGGGCATCCTCTCAGTTTCCAGTTCTTGGCCACCACAAAAAGATCTGCTATAAATATTTTTGTACATGAGGGTCCTTTTCCCATTTGTGTGATCTCTTTGGGATACAGCCCTAGAAGTGGTATTGCTGGGTCAAAGGGTGAAAATTTAATAGTGCCAATTAAATTTAGATGTGTGTCATATGTACATTTTTCCCCCAGATAGCTGACTGTTAAATGTTTACCTGGATATATTCATAAGGTATCTGAAGTAGGGAAAGAAACCAAAAGTGTGGAGAAAATCTAGGTACATATTAAAACTGAAAAAGGTGACAGGTAGAACGTCAGCAACAACAAACCTAAAGTTTGTGCCTAATTGCCCTTCTATGTAAATTTTTCATGAAGATAATCTGCACATGGGGCAGCTAGGTGGTGCAGTGGATAGAGCACTGGCCCTGAAGTCAGGAGGACCTGAGTTCAAATCCAGCCTCAGACCAAACACTTGACACTTACTAGCTGTGTGACCCTGGGCAAATCACTTAGCCCCAGTTGCCTAAAAGAAAAAAAAAAGATAATCTGCACGTGCATCACGGGCATACATGATGGGGGACACCAGTTGGAAACAGGAAGGTTTTTCTAAGCAATATCCCAGTATGTGACCTTACATTTATCCAACATTGGGCTATTGTGTTCTAATGCTTCTTGGTCATACTTGCATAGTTTATTCTACTGATCTATTTTTTAAAAAAATTCTAACCAGTACCAAATAGTTTTGATAATTACCGCTCTGTCAAAGAGTTTGAGGTCTAATGATATTATGCTCTTTATTCCTACTTTTTCATTATTGCTCTTGAGATGCTAGACATTTTGTACCTCTAAGTGAATTTTGTTATTATTTCATCTAGTACCATTAAATCTACAAATTAATTTACACTGTAATGAGGCCATGTGGTGCAGTGTAAATGACACTGGCCCTGGGATTAAAGGACCTGGCTAAGAGCCCTGCCTCTGATGCTTTCTATCTGTGTCAGCTTGGGCAAGTGATGCAGCCTCCCCTGGCCTCAGTTTCATTTTCTGCAAAACATGGTCCTTTCCATCTTTAGAGATTTGATCCTATAAATATTGCTCATATACTGGCGCAGTCAAATCATTAACAATGAACATTTTGCCCGGTTTTTGCCTCCCTTGATTTCTATGAAGAATGAAGTGAAGCCATATTTCAATAAACATGTGAAACATTTGGAAGTTAAACTACCAGAACTTACTCAGGGCTTTAGTTATTTTCATTAAAATTTCTTTTTTTAAAAAGTTATAACTTTTTAAATTTTTTTGGATATTTTTTATTTTATATGATAGCTATTTTCAGATAGATCATTCCTTACTCCCTCTATTTGAACACTTTTGTAATAAAATCGACACCAGTGACAATATCTTAGGAGCAGCTAGGTGGCGCAGTGGATGGAGTACTGGCCCTGAAGTCAGGAGGACCTGAGTTCAAATCTGGCCTCAGACCAAACACTTGACACTTACTAGCTGTATGACCCTGGGCAAGTCACTTAACCCCAAGTGCCAAAAAAAGAAAAAAGACAATATTTTAAAGTTTATGTAATATTCTTACATCTAGAATCTCCCACCTTTCTACCTAAAGTAGGGAAGTATGTATGATTCTCTTTTCTGGGAATAATTATACAGAGTTCATCTTCCTTTTAGTGTTCTCATTTATATATTGTTTTCCATGTTCTAGTTACTTCATTATGCATCAGTGCATACAAATCTTCCTATGTTTCTTCTCAATTCTTCATATTCCTTATTTCTTACTGCATACTATTCTATTAATTCAAATATATTCATTAGTTGATCTGTTAACATTTTAAAGCACCTACTATGTGTCAAGCATTATGCTACATATTGGGGAAATACAAATACAAAAGCCAAATGGTCCCTCCTTTAAAAGAGCTTACATTCTAACATGGGAGACAATAAACACATACTTATATAGGCCCACGCAAAACAGATACGAGGTAATGATGGAGGGAAGACAGGCATGTTTATAGAAATATAGAAGATACCTACAAAGTAGGTGTATATTAACCTTAGAGAGGAAGGCATTGGCAGCTGGTAAACTAGCCTGCTTGAACTGTCTTTTTTTTTTTTAATTGAGAAAAATTATCTTCTCTCTAACATACCTCTCCTATCTCGTTGGTAAAAAACAACAACAGAAAAACAAGATACTTGCAACAAATATGTCTAGTTCAGCAAAGAAAATTAACCACATCCAAAATTGTTTCGAGCCATGCCCTTAGTCCATCACCTCTTTGTCAGTAGGTGAGTTTCATCCTGGGTCCTCAGGAATTGTGGGTGGCCACAGCACTGAGTCTTTCAAAATTGCTTGTCTTTATGATGTTGTTGTGATTGCATTAATGGCTTTCCATTTTATGCTCACCTCACTCTGCATTAGTTTATACAAGTCTTTCCATGTTTCTCTGAAATGATCCCCTTTGTTATTTCTTACAGGATGACAGTATTCCCTTACATTCATATGTAATAGTTTGTTCAGCCATTCCTCAATCTATGGGCACTCTTTTAGTTTCCAGCTCTGTTACCATATTAAAAAGCTGCTATAAATATTTTTGTATATATGGGTTCTTTTTCTTATTCTTTGATTTTTTTTTTGATTTTGCTGGATCAAAAGGTACCTCTAATTTGATAACATTTTGGGCAGAGGTAGCTAGGTAGTACAATGGATAGAGCACTGGGCCTGGAATCAGGAAGACTTGAACTCAAATCTAGCATCAGACACTTACTGTGTGATCCTGGGCAAATGACTTAATCTCTGTGTGCCTCAGTTTCCTCAAAATGTAGAATGGAGAGGATAGCAGTACCTACCTCGCAGCATAGCTGTGAGGCTCAAATGAGGTATTTGTAAAAGGCTCTGTACAATGCTTGGCACGTAATAGATGCTATATAGGATGCTTATTCTCTTCCTCTTCCCTTGCTTTCTAGAATGACTGGACCAGTCCAAAATTCCACCAACAGTGAATTAAGGTACCTGTTTTCACCTTGCCCCTCCAATATTTGTCATTTTCTTTTTTTGGCAACTTGGCCAGTATGATGAGTGTGAGGCAGAGCCTCAGAGTTGCTTGAATTTGCATTTTTCTAATTATTAGTGATTTTGAACATTTTTTCCACTTGGATATTGATTGCTTGGATGTATTCTTCTGAAAACTACCTATTCACATCTTTTGGTCATTTAATAACTCTGAGAATATCTTTTATACTTATAAATTTAACAACAATGATAATTATAACTAATATTTATATAGCACTTACTATATGCTAGGTATTTTGCTAAGTGCTTTACTATTACTATCTCTTTTGAGCCTCACAACAGCCCTGGGAGTTAGGTGATATTATTATCCCCATTTAACAGATAAGGAAACTGAGGCAAACACAATTTAAGTGACTTGCCTAGGATCAAAAACTGGTAAGTGCCTGAAGCTAGATTTGAACTCAAGTCTTTCTGACCCAGCTTGATGCTCTATCTTTCACTACTTAGTTTAGTAAGTTTGAATCAGTTCCATATATGTACTTAAGTACATACATACATATATATATATATACACACACACACACACACATATATATATACAAACACATACGCACATACATACACATATATACACACACATATATGTAATGAGATCTTTATCAGAGAAGCTTACTGCAAATGTTTTTCCCATTTCCCTTCTAATTTTGGCAGCATTTATTTAGTTTCTGCAGACATTTTTAATTTTATATAATCAGAATTGTCTTTTTTTTATCTTCTATGATCCCTTTGTTGGGTCAAGAAGTCTTACCCTGTTTATAGATCTGACAAGTGATTACTTCCTTACTCCTCCAATTTGGGTATGGTGTCCTCTTTTAGATCTAAGAATCACCAACCCATTTTGAGCTTGTTTTGATATGCAGTATGAGGTTTTGGTCTAGTTGTTGCCATCATGCTTACTCAATTTTCTCAGCATTTTTTGTTGTCGTTGTTGAATGGTGATTTTTTTTTACCTCTGTAGCAGGGATCTTTGGGTTTATCTAAGAGTAAGCTACTATGCTCATTTCCTTGTGTTTATTCTATATACCTTATCTGTTCTACTTATTGACCTCTCTATATCTAGCCAGTCCAAATTTGTTTTGATTGTTACCCATTTATAGTGCATTTTAAGATCTGGTACTGCTGGGTCCCCATATTTCCCACTTTTTATCATTATTTCCCTTGAAGGTCTTGGCTTTTTGTTTGTCCAGACAAAATTTGTTATATCTTCTAGCTCTATAAAGTATTTTTTTTTGTATGGAGAGATGGCACAAAATAAGTAAATTAATCTAAGTAGTATTATAATTTGCATTCATATAGTTCCTATATGTGCCTTAGCAGATAGACTCTCACATATTTTATACATTTTATAGTAATTTTAAGTGTAATTTCTCTATCTTTTCCTGATTTTTTTTTTGGTAATGTACAGAAATGCTGGTGTTTCTTTTGCATCTAGCAAGTTTGCTGACGAACAGTTTCAATAACTTTTTTTTTTAGTTTACTCTCCAGGGTTCTGTAAGTAAACTATCACATTATCTACAAAAAGCAATACTTTTATTTCTTTTTTTCCCATGCTTATTCTCTCAATTTCTTTTTCTTGCCATTGCTCTGGCTAGCATTTCTGGCACTGTAACTACAATAGCTAGCATCACCTACTTGCCTCTAATCAAACAGTACTAGTGATAATGGATATCTTTGCTTTACCTGTGATCTTATTGTGAAGGCCTCTAGTTTATCCCTATAGCTGATAATTCTGGCTCTTAATTTTATACCTATACAACTTATCATATTAAGGCAAAGTCTGTATATTCCTATGTTTTCTAGTGTTTTCAACAGGAAAATATGTTGAACCTCATCAAAAGATTTTCTGTACATATTTATATAATCACATGATTTTTCTGGTTTTTATTAATAATATGTTCTGATATATTGATGGGGAAGGTAGGTGGTGTAGCAGATAAAGTCTTGGGCCTGGAAGAAGACTAATCTTTGTGAATTCAAATATAGCCTTAAATACTTGCTAACTGTGTGACCCCGGGCAAGTCACTTAACCCCAATTGCCTTAAAAAAAAATTAAAATGACTGAACAGCAACAAAAATATATTGACAATTTTCCTAAAATTAACCCCACTCCATCTTTCTCGAGCAATTCAAACCTGGTCACATTATATAATCTTTGTGATTTTGGTGTAGTCTCTTTGATAATATTTTATTTAAAAATTTTATACCTCAATATTCATTAGGAATAGTGGTCTATAATATTCTTTCTCTGATAAGACTCTTCCTGGGTTAGTTGTTAAGACCATATCTATAACATAGAGAAGTAAGAGCTCTTTTTCTCTATTTTTTTGAACAACATATATAAAGTTTGCATAAATTGTTTCTTAGTTGTTTGATAGAATTTGCTGATAAATCCATCTTGTTCCAGGGATTTTTTTCCCTTTTGGAGTTCATTTATTGCTTGTTCAATTTCATTTCCTGATACTATCGTATTTATTGTTCTGTTAATCTGGGAATTTTGCATTTTTATAAAATATTAACCAATTTAATTTAGATTGTCAATTTTATTTGCATAAAATTAGGTAATATAATTCTTAATAAAATCATCTTTCCTTCCTCATTTTTGGTAATTTCACCTTTTTCGTTTCAATTTAAAAAAAATACCAAACTTTCTAATGTTTTATCTATATGTCTATATTTTAAAAACCAAGCCTTAGTTTTAATTACTAATATGTCAAATTATCTTCTTTTCATTTTGTTAATCTCATCTTTGTTTTTTTAGGATTTCTAATTTTGGTATTTAATTTTTAAAAAATTTATTGGTTTCCTAGGATTTTTTTTAGTTGCATGCCCAACTCATTGATCTATTCTTTCTCTTTTGATGATTAAAATGTTTAGAGATAAATTTTCACATGAGGACTACTTTGGCTCCATTGCCAAATTTTTGGCATGTTGTCTTCAATTTTTCACATGATCTTTAATACAATTGTCTATTGTTCTTATGGCTTGTTCTTAAATTATTTGGTCACCAATTAATATTTTTTTTTACTCTGAGAATCGCTTTAGCTCTATCTCCCAAAGTATGTTATATTTTCTCATAGCTGTCATTCTCTAAAACAGTTAGTCATGGTTTCTATGATCAGTTCTTTGGCCCACTCATGATTTAGCATGTGATTACATAGTTTCCATTTCAGCATGAATCTTTTGCCTGTGTTCCCAGTATTAATTACTATTTTAATTCATTAAGATGTGTAAAGACACAATGACCAAATCTATCTTTTTACAATTATTTATGGCATCAGTGTGGTTTAGAATATGAGTTTTTCTAAATATATCTTAGTATGCTGAGAAATATATACATTCTTTAATACTCTTCAATAGCCTATCCTGAGCTATTTTTCTTTTTATTTGATTTATCTATTTCTAAAAAAAGCAACAAAACCTCACACACTTATTATCTTGCTATATGTCTTTTTATAATTCAATTACATTTATTTTATAAATGTTAATGCAATGCCATCTGGGGAATATTCATGTAGTCCAGATAATCTTGTCCCAAATCACATTGGTGAATTAGTCTCTGAGCAAGGCTGCACATTTCCTTTAGGGCAAAGAGAATGTTAATCTAATGCTATTGGCTGGAGCTCCCATTCCGCAATGTTAACAACCAAGAATTAATGTTTCAGTTTAATTTAACCAACCAAAATCAATTAGCTTTTGCAAAACGAGAATATAGAGCAAGAACAGATGTGCAAACATTTCCCCCAACACGTTGGGACACACTTTCTCACATAACATCTCCATCTTTGGGGAGGATGAACTTAAATTGAAAGCAGTTACTATAAAGCTTTGACCTCACCAAGTTCACTTATAGCATCTCAGCTACTGCGGGGCTGGGTCAAGAAGGTTCTTCCAGGTGTCTGTTGCCTCACCTCTTCTTGGCTTCTAGGAAATCCTAGGATGTACTGCAGCTCTGTTTTGGCATTTTCTATTCCGACTTTTCAAAGCTCAGAAGACCTTAGACATCTCCAGTATTCCTTCACCTAAAAGCAGGAAAAAAGCAAATCCCCAAAAGGAAAAAAAAAAAGAGGCCTATATTCATAGTTTATCATGGTCCAGGGGGCAAAATGGGAAGTCAGAAGTAGGAGCCCACCCTCGTTGCTGCTATATCTGTCATCAACAGCAAGGTGCTTCCACTTCAAGCTGGCTCAAGGTGAGGGAGGACCTGATGATCCTCCCAGAAACTTATTGCAATCCTAGCCTCCTAACACAGCCATTCAGAAAAGAGAGAATGGTTTGGATATTTACTGCCCTTTAAACATATTCTAAGTTCTGGCTCAACAACCAGTTGGAAGGCTCCTCTTCATTTGGAAAGGGGACCAGAAACAGAATACCTGAATTTATTCCGTATCAGTGAGCTGGCCCTTTCTATTACGTATTAACACATTGTTCCAGAAGCAAGCTCTCCTGCTTCATCCATGTGGCCTGGGACTAGGTGCAGCATAATTTGAAGCTGGGGCTCTGTTGACATGGCCCTATTATACTGACAATATTTAATAGTTATATAGTTTCATTGCCTGTGATTCTTTGAAGTGTAATGCAGTTTCTTTATTTATCTCTCTTAATAGTTTGAATTTTTATTATTGCCTTATCTGAAATCATAATTGATATTCTGGGCTTTTTAAAAAATATAACATGAATCATAGTCAGTTTTATTCATTACTTTCATCTCATTTTCTTATCAATTTTGCCATTCTATTTCATTTCACTGAGTTCCTTTATGTCTGGTTTATTTTTATGTCTAGTTTATTTAGATGTTATATTTCTTTTAATCATTGTATTCTATATTTTTGTAAATATTCATTTATTTCATTTAAGTTTTCAGTTTATTGGCACATAATTGGACAAAAAAAGATTCTAGAAGTTCCTTTATCTCTTCTTCATTTGGCATAAATTCTCC